TTACTTAGTAACTTTGAAGTTACTGTGAGCTATGACACTACAGTACTCTATCCAGGGTAACAGAGTCAGACTGTCTCAAAAAACAACAACAACAACTCCATTAAAAAGTGGGCAAAAGACATGAACAGAAACTTTTCAAAGGAAGACAGACTAATGGCCAAAATTTAAGAAAAAATTCTCAACATCTCTAATTATCAGAGAATTACAAATCAAAACCACAATGAGATATCACTCAACTCTAGTGAGAATGACTTTTTTTTTTACCTTTTTAAAAATTATTATTGTTGGGGATTCATTGAGGATACACAAAGCCAGGTTACATTGATTGTTTTTGTTAGATAAGGGCCCTCTTATATTTGTGTACCACCCCCAAAAGGTGAGAATGACTTTTATTAAAAAGTCCCAAAACAACAAATACTGGAGTGGATGCAAAAAGGGAAAGTGCCAGACCAGTCCAACAAGACTACAATCCAGAGATGTTGATAAGAAATTCTCTAAGAGAAGAAGAAAAAAATGAGAAGCAGTTACCAGCCACCTCCTATTATCATTCTGTAGCCAAGAAGAAAAAAAGAAAAAGCAAACACAGCAGTTTCACGCTGTCTTCTACTAATCATCCTATAGCAATAAATTTTTCTTTACCTCTTTACAACTCTCCACAAAAGGCCTGAAGTTGGCTTGGCTTCAGGGAGAGTCTTTTTTCTTGTGCTATGTCCTTTTTCCCTTCTCTGGGAAAAAGTAAAATAAACTTTTTGTTTCTTTCTATGCTAATCTTTGTATGCAAATTCTTTCTCCACCTACAACATGTGATCTTAGTGAATTCTCAATCTAATAGCACTTGTATCCAGAACATGGAAAGAACTCTCAAAATTCAACAATAAGTAAACAACCCAATTTGTTGTTTAAAAATGGACAAAAGATATGAATAGATACTTCACAAATGAGAGATGGACAGCAAATAAGCACACCTAAAGATGTTTGATATCAGTAGTTATTATGGAAACGCAAATTAAAACCATGAGATATTACTACATATCTATCAGCATGACTTTTTTTTTTTGAGACAAAGTCTCACTATGTCACCCTTGGTAGAATGCCATGCTGTCATAGCTCACAGCAACCTCAAACTCTTGGGCTTATTTTCTTGCCTCAGCCTCCCAAGTAGCTGGGACTACAGGCAACCGCCACAACGCCCAGCTATTTTCTGGTTGAAGTTGTCATTGTTGTTTGGCAGGCCTGGGCTGGGCTCAAACCCTCCAGCCTCAGTGCATGTGGCTGGTGCCATAACCACTGTGCTACAGGCGCCAAGCCTATCAGCATACCTTAAAAAAAAAACCTTGAGAATATTTAGTGCTGACAAGTAACATGAAGCAAATGGCATTCTAATACACTGTAGTAGGAATGTGAAATAGTGTACCTGTTCTAGAAAACAGTTTGGCAGTTTCTTATAAAGTTAAACATAATACTTACCATATTACATATAACTCAACAACTATATTGCTAGAAATGAAACCTATGTTCACATAAAAATCAGTATACAAATATTTGTAACAGTTCTACTCATCATTGCCAAAAAACTGGAAAGCAACTAGTTTTCAATGTTTTTTCAACCAGTGAGTGATTTATTTATCCAATTTATTATTTATTTCATACAAGCAAACACTATTTAGCAATAAAAAAATAATATACTGATAATGCAACAACATAATCAAATCTCAAATGCATTATGCTAAATGAAGAAAAGGCAGTCTCAAAATTACATACTATATAATTCAATTTATATACTATTCAGGAAAAGGCAAAATTATATGGATGAAGAATAGATTGATTGCCAGGAATTAGTGGTGGGAAGACTACAAAGAGGGAAGTATTGGAACTGTTTTGTAGCTTGACTATGGTGGTGATAACATGCTTTTAGGCATGTGCCAAAACTCAATGAAATATACACCCTAAAAGAATAATTAAAAATAAAAACACAACATGAAACAAAATCATTTTACATTCATTAGGATGGCTATCATCCAAAAAAAACCCCCAGAAATTAACAAGTGTTGGCTCGGCACCTGTGGCTCAAGCAGCTAAGGCACCAGCCACATACACCTAAGGTGGCGGGTTCGAATCCCCAGCCCGGGCCCACCAAACAACAATGATGGCTGCAACCAAAAAAATGGCCAGGCATTGTGGTGGGCGCCTGTAGTCTCAGCTACTTGGGAGGCTGAGGCAGGAGACTCGCTTGAGCCCAGGAGTTGGAGGTTGCTGTGCACTGTGATGCCATGGCACTCTACCCAGGGGGATAGCTTAAGGCTCCGTCTCAAAAAAAAAAAAAAAGAAATTAACAAGTATTGGTGAGGAGGTAGAAAAACTGAAACCCTTGTGTATTATTTTTTTTCCTTGTGTATTATTTATGGAATGTACAATGGTACAGCCACTAAAAAGAACAGTATGGCAGTTCTTAAAAAAAAAAATCATAAAATTACCATATTATCCAGTATTACACTTCTGGGTATATACTCAAAAGAACTGAAAGCAAGGACTTGAACAGATATTTGTACCCATGTTTCATAGCAGCATTATTCACAATGGAAAAACAGTACAAAGTAACCCGTGTCCATAAAAGAAGAACAGATAAACATGTGTGGTATATACAAACAAGGTAATACGGTGTGTCCATAAAGTTTATGTGCAATTGCAAAACCTGTATTATTCGGCCTTAAAGACAAAGGAAATTTGACACCTGCTATATGACATGGATGAACCTTGAAGTCATTATGCTAAGTGAAATAAGTTAATCACAGAAGGACAAATACTGTATATTCCACTTACACAAGGTACCCAGAATAATCAAATTCATAGAGACAAAAAGAAATAGTGTGGTGGTTGCCAGGGGCTAGTGGAAGAGAGTATAGGGAGTTGTTTAATGGGTAGTGTCAGTTTTGCAAAATGAAAAAAGCACTAGAGATGGATGGTGATGACAGCTGTATAATAATGTGAATGTACTTAATGCCACTGAACTGAAAACTTTGAAAATTGTTAAAATGGGGTATGTGTATAGTGGCTCACACCTATAATTCTAGCACTCTGGGAGGTTGAGGTGAGGAGATGACTTGAAGCAAGGAGTTAGAGACCAGCCTGGACAATATAGCAAGACTCTGTCTCTACAAAAAATTTAGCCAGGCATCATGGCCGTAGTCTAGTCCCAGCTACCTGGGAGACTGAGGCAGGAGGAGGACTACTTGAGCCTAGGAGTTGGAGGTTGCAGTGAACTATAATGGCAAAAATGGTGCCACTCCACTTGTGCTCTGGCAACAGAACAAGACCCTATCTCAAATTAAAAAAAAAAAAAATCAAGGTGAAATAAAGACATTTTCAGAAATTATAACCAAGTGAATTTGTCATTAGTACTGAATACATGAAATGATAAAAATAACTTGTTTAGGCTAAACGGAAAAAATATGCAAGAAAATCCCCGGCTTGTAGGAAGGAATAAAGAACATTCAAAGGACTCATATGTGTACACATTTTATTTACATACACATATAATTTTTAAAAAATATTAGTAACTATTTAAAGCAAAATTAACAAGTATTTGGGGTTAAAATATATGAGAAATGAGATTTAAGACAAAGACTCTGAAATGTAAGAAGGCTGTAAATAGGATACTACTACTGAAAGTTTATTACATTGTTTGTGAATAAGTTTATATTTGTTTCTTTTTTCTCTGCTTTCTATTTTTCTTTAATTTCAGATTAAATGATTAGGTTACAATGTTTGCATTTGTTAAGGTAAGGTCCCTATTGTAGTTGTGCCCCTCACCTGTGAGGTGTGCCATATAACCTTATATTGTGCCTATTATGTGAGAGCACACCTCCCTCCTCCTTTTTCTCTTCCTCCCCCCAACTTGAATTGAGTTTTTCTCTTGTTTAGTTCAATTACTGGCTTCATATTAGTATTGAATACATTGGATACTTGCTTTTCCATTCTTGTGATACTTTACTGAAGAGAATGTTCTCCACTCTATCCAGGTTAATATAAAAGGCTCATGACTGTAATCCTAGCACTCTGGGAGGCTGAGGCAGGTGGACTGTTTGCTCTCACAGGTTTGAGACCAGCCTAACAAAGAGCAAGACCCCACCTCTAAAAATAGCCAGTTGTTGTGGCAGGTGCCTATAATCCCAGCTACTCAGGAGACTAAGTCAAGAGAATCTCTTGAGCCCAAGAGTCTGAGGTTGCTGTAAGCTATGACAGCATAGTACTCTACCCAGAGCAACAGAGTGATGAGACTCTGTCTCAAAAAAAAAAAAATTAATTGATCAATCAATTAATTAAATTACAGTTTTCTACAGTCTACAAGGCTCTACATGTTCTAGCCTCTTCTACCTCTTTCAACTTCTTACCATTTTTTCCGTACATCACTTCTTCCTAGCTTCAATGTTCTCAATACTGTTCCTAGAATATGCCTCAGAGTGTTTGTATTTGCTGTTCCTTCTACCTAGAATGTTCTTCCCTTAGATTTCTATTGGGCTCCCTCTTTAATCCAGGACTTTCCTCAAGTATTATTTCCTAATTAACCTATAACCTGTTTCTCTCTTATCTATATCACTCTGTCCTCAAAAATTGCCTGAGTTTGTCTCTGGGCACATACATCAGACTATTACTCAAATGTTGACACATTTTATTGTGAAATATACTTTAAAAATCAAATTTGTTAATATTGGTGTGATTGTCTTAATTCATGCTAAACAGGCAGCAATCTATTTATCATTGGTTTCATACCATCAACTCTGCTAGTACTATGATTTTGGACAACATAGACTCCTTGAGAGGGTCTTGGGGCTCCCAGGGATCTGGTGACCACACTAAGAGAACTGCTGTTTTATTCAAACAACATTGTCCCTGAAGGTGATTTTTAACCATTTCCACTTTTCTAGTTCTGTGGACTTTCTTTCATAAAATTCATTAAACACACACACATAGCAAAACAAAGAGCTAAATAAATAACCCACCTTGAACTTGTTCATTTTCTGTTGTTCTTGGCAAAGGGCAGAAACTATGAAGCCAGAGCAGAGAAAGTTGGAAGACAAAAGTTGTAAGAGACCTTATCTTGAAGCTCCAGGAATCACCTATGAGAAATTTCCACATAACATTTTAGTAAGATATATAACTCTGGGAAAATGTCCCCACGACCCATCACAAGGATTAGGAAGGAACACGATAAAGTAGTGCCCTCCTGTCCATTGGTGACTCTGATATAAATTGTGACTAACCTGGGACATTTCTGAGGAAATCTGAAAATGTATTTTCTATTGACTGTTTTGAAAATTATGTGTCTGTTTACTGAATAACACAAAAGAAATGAAAACAAACTCCAATAATAGCAGATAATTAAGAAGCAGGTGTTAACATATCCAAAGTATGAAACCTTAGGCTGACATCAGAAATTATGTTGAAAATACATATTCATTGAATACATAAAAGGTGCTTAAGTGATGTCATAACAATTTTCCTATGATTATAAATCCCACATAGTTTTAAAGTCTTTTCAAAGTTCTCAAAAATAAGATGTTTCTGGCTCAGCGCATATGGCTCAAGCGGCTAAGGTGCCAGCCACATACACCTGAGCTAGCAGTTCAAATCCAGCCCAGGGCCCACCAAACAACGACAGCCGCAACCAAAAAATAGCTGGGCATTGTGGGGGGCGCCTATAGTCCCAGCTACTTGGGACTAGGAGGCAGGAGAATCAATTGAGCCTAGGAGTTGGAGGTTGCTGTGAGCTGTGATGTCACAGCACTCTACCCAGGGCAACAGCTTGAGGCTCTGTCTCAAGGAAAAAAAAAAAAAAAAGATGTTTCTTCTCCCTAAATTGCATTTACTCAAAAACCACTTCTCTAAGAACAGTGCTCTGACTCAAATGTGATATAGTGAACCTGGAGACTTCTGTTCTACCCTAGGCTCTGCTATTAACAAACCTAGTGAGTGTCTTAGTTTCAATTATTTATTTTTAAAATAAGGAGGAACTAGGTTAGATAATCTTGAATAACTCTTCATGTACCATTATGATTCTAGAAGTCTTCACATAGAACACAAATCCAAATGGGGACCTAGAATTCACTGTACCCTCAAAACTTGGGCAGAACCTAGGGTAAAATTAGTTGTATCTTGATGAACTCTGACAGGGCCATCTAATCTTCTGACATGACACAAATATAGCTTCTAAAATAATGGTTTGGCACCATAATTCACAAACAGGCACTTTATGTATGTACACACAGTAAAAGACAACTAGGTACCATAATCCTGAGGTCCTTTTCATAAGCAAATGAAAGTACAGAGAGCATCCAAATTACAATGGAAGAAGTCAAATTATACTTGTTCACAGACAACATAATCCTATATTTAGAAAAACCTGTAGACTCTGCCAAAACATTGCTAGATTGATAATTCAGTAAAGTTTCAGGATACAAAATCAACATAAAAAAATCAGTAGCATTTCTACACAACAGTAAACAATCTGAAAAAGAAATAAACACAGTGATCATATTTATAATAGTTACAAAAGATAATACCTAGGAATAAATTTAAATTTTAAATAAATGAAAGATCTCTGCAATGAAAACAATAGAACACTGATGAAAGAAGTTGAAGATAGCCTATGCTCATGGATTAGAAGAATTAATATTAAAATGCCCCTACTACCTAAAACAATCATCAATGCAATTATCATCGGAATACCCATTATTCTGATATAATTCTATATCATCAGAATACCAATTTTCTTCACAAAAATAGAAAAAAAAAATCCTAAAATTCATATGGAACCAGAAAGGACCCTAAATAGCAAAACTAATCTTTTTTTTTTCTTTTTTTTTTTGGCTGAGGCTGGGTTTGAACATGCCTCCTCCAGCATACGGGGCTGGTGCCCTACCCTTTTGAGCCACAGGTGCCAACCAGCAAAACTAATCTTGAGCAAAAAGAACAAAGCTGGAGGCATCACATTCCTAGACTTCAAAATAGAACATAAAGCCATAGTCAAGACAGCATGGTACTAGTACAAAAACAGACACACAGACCAATAGAACAGAATTGAGAACCCAGAAGTAAATCAATGCATTTACAACCCACTCATTTTCTTTTTTTTTTTTTTTGAGACAGAGCCTCAAGCTGTCCCCCTGGGTAGAGTACCGTAGCATCACACTTACAGCTACCTCCAACTCCTGGGCTCAAGCGAGTCTCCTGCCTCCGCCTCCCAAGTAGCTGGGACCACAGGCGCCCGCCACAACGCCCGGCTATTTTTTGGTTGCAGCCGTCATTGTTGTTTGGCGGGTCCGGGCTGGGGATTCGAACCCGCCACCTTAGGTGTATGTGGCTGGCGCCTTAGCCGGTTGAGCTATAGGCGCCGAGCCAACCCACTCATTTTCAACAAAGGTATTAAGAACATGCATTGGGGGAAAAAACAGTCTTTTCAATAAATGGTGCTGGGAAAACTGGATATCCATATGCAGGAGAATGAAATTAGACTCTACTTCTTACCATATGCAAAAATTACTTTGAAATGGATTAGGAACTTAAATTGAAGGCCTGAAACTATGAAACTACTAAAAGAAAAGATTGGAGAAATTCTTCAAGACATTGGGCAAAAATTTTTTGGGTAAGAGCTCAAAAGCACAGGCAACAAAAGCAAACATAGACAAATGGGATTACACCAAGTTTAAAAAGCTTCTGCGTAGCAAAAAAAAAAAAAGAAAATCAAGAAACATACAAGAAACTCAGACAACTCAATAGCAAAAAAAAAAAAAAAAAAAGAAGCCAAATAATACAAAAGACATACAAATGACCAACAAGTATATAAAAGAAAATGCTCAAAATCACGCATCATCAGGGAAATGCAAATCAAATCCACAATGAGGTATTATCTCACCCCAGTTAAAATGGCTACTATCAAAAAAACAAAAAGTAACAAAATTGGAGAAAATGCTCAGACAGAGGAACACTCAAATACTGTTGAGTGTTGAATGTAAATTAGTATAGCCACTATGGAAAATAGTACGGAGCTTTCTCAAAAAATGAAATATAGATCTACCACATGACCTCGCTGTAGTAAAGGGATCCTCACACCTTAGATACCTCCTTAGCATAAGCATGGCCATTTTAGTGAGGTTGCCATTTAGAGACACTGGGCCAAGAAGTCAAATGAATTGAACCAAAGATCCAGCTACAGAACAATGGGTAAAGCTCCACATCTCTGGAATATTGCAGGGCAGTTACTCCTGGAATGTTGCAGAGTGTGGACTTTCCACCCTGGCTAAACTGCCCCTCTGCAGGAGTTAGTCCCTCCCATAGCTACCCTTCTCCCAAATTCTTTCTATACTGATAAGCTTGATAAAGATGCCTGAAACCAGGAGGAGGCTGGGCTGACTCTGGTTCAGATCCCACTTCTGTTCTCTCCCTTAATAAACTCTCTTTTGTCTCTGGGCTGGACTCCTCTCCTTTCTGCCAACTACCACCCCATTTCTATCCCAGACCCAACACCAGCAATCCTATTGCTGGGTATATATTCAAAAGAAAGGAAATTAGTACACTCAAGAAATAACTGCATGCCCATATTTATTGCAACACTATTCACAATAGCGAGAAATGGAAGCAACTTAAGTGTCTATCAACAGATCAGTGAATAAAAAAATGTAGTATATAAATTTATATATACACTCACACTAGAATATTATTGTTAGAAAAAGAAAGAAGTCTTGTCATTTATAGCAACATGAAAGGAATTGGAGGGCATTAAGTTAAGTGAAATTAAGCCAGGCACAGAAAGACAAATTTCACATGTTCACACTCATGTGTGGAAACTAAAAAAAAGGTTGATCTCATGAATATAAAGAGTAGAATGATGTTTACCAGAGACTGGGAAGGGTAGGGAGGTGAGGGGCAATTAGGAGAGGTTGGTCACTAGTTACAAAAACAGGGTTAGCTAAGAAGGAATAAGTTCTAGTGTTCTATAGCACAATACTGAGACAAGAGTTAACAATAATTTATTGTGTATTTCAAAATAGCTAGAAGAGTGGGGATGTTTCTAACATGAAGCAATGATGAAAGTTTAAGGTGATGAATATGTTAATTACCTTGATTTGATCACTACATATTATATGCATGTATCAAAATATCACGTGTACCCCATAAATATGCACAATTATGATGTATCAATAAAGATTAGGAAAAAAACTAAAAAACAAAACAACAACAACAAAGAAAAAACAGCAGTAAGCACTTACAGCCAGCTTGGAGTTTACAAAATGCCTAATTAATAAATTCAGATATCACCAGCCAGTTTGAGACAGTATATCACCAACATAACATGGAGCATGGACGACTTGCAGTTTGCATCTTTAAAAAAGAAAAATCTGTCCCATTACACTCTCTAGCAAATTAGCCTCCTGCCTAGATAGGATTCTAGGCTTCTCCGGTAAAATTTATAATGAAAGGCTCAAATTTACATATTTAACAGTCCTCTGAGAAGATAGCCCTGAACGCAGGAAGGGGCTTAAACAACATTTTGGCTCAAGAGTGCTGAGGACTCCCTAAGCACTTTCAGAAATAGAACGCTACATGGAAAGATTAGGTTCAGTACACTCCACAACTATGTTGTGGTGATGCTCAGGAACAACTGACATTCCAAATATAAACCCAAATTGTGGGTTTTAGTGTAGGAAAGAGTATAAACGAATCCTAGATTGGGATAGAGCAAAACACGTGAGAATTTAAGTCTCATTTGCTAATACTGGGTAAACCAGTCTCTCTGAAGCTTCAGTATTCTTATTTATTAAAATGGAGGTGGTTAAAAGGATGGTTATGATGATTCAATGAGCCAATAATGAACACAGCATGCCTTGTGATAACAAAAGATGCTCACCTTTATCGAGTCTTTTACCATACTTTACATCTACTAACCTATTCAATTCGGCAAACGACCCTAAAGGTTACTGCCCCTGCCCTCTGACAGACGAGCATCTGAGATGCACTGGGATGTCTGTAGACTCTGGGCCCAAGCCCAGGCCCTGCAGCTCTACAGTCCACGTCACCAGCGGCCGGAGCCGCAAAGGGCGCCTTACGCGGCAGGCCGGGCTCACGTCACCGGGACCGCTCCCTCCCGGAGCTCCGCTTTCCCTGTCGCCTCGGCATCCTAGAGCTGCCCCCCAACTGAGTCATGGAAATACAGTTATGAAGAGGAACGCCAGTGCACACGGCCGGCTTCCCCGACAGGGCCACCACCACCACCCCCTCCCCGGGTCACCCCTGTCTTCCACTCGGCGCCAAGCCGAGACCCTCTTCCCCGCCACCCGCCGGGCCGCAAACACCTTCAAACACACCTGACCCGCTCAGCCTCTGCTCCTAGCCTGCCAGGAGTCCAGGCCCCGCCTTCTGCCAGACTGCTGAGACCTGAAAGCTCAGAAGTCCTTTGCCCCCTGGGGTGTGAGACAAAACGGCTACGCCTGAAAGGAGCCGGCACTGCCCATGCGCATAGAGCACCTCGGCCCTACTACCGAACTACGCTTCCCAGAAGCCTGGGCGCCAACAGGGCCTCTGATGACACCTGAGGTTGGGCTCCCCCTGGCGGCATGCGGGGCTGTAGTAGAACCCGCAACCACAGCCTGGTCTTGATCCAAAGCTGTTGTGAGTGGCGCGAGGAATATCGATGGGTAACTGAAGTGCTTGGAACTAAGTAGGTACGGTACTGTAGTTCATTCAAAGAACAATACCCCGTAAGAGCTGACTTAGGACTGCTAGCTTTCAAGATTGCGCAACTGGTACACGAAACATGCAGTAAACTAGAAAACTTGTGTAAGCTAAAACAGAAGACGAGGGCCACACATGCCGTTTCCCAAAAGGAAAAAACCCCTTAATGTTAGGTATACATTCTTCTGAGATTTTTACACAAATTTTATCTTAATGGTATTGAATATCATGGCTATCACCTCTCTAGGGAATATATACAATCAACCCTCCTTATCTGTGGGGTCTACTGGAAAATATTTGGGGGGGAAATTGCATCTGAACTGAACGTGTACTACTTTTCCCCTTCTCATTATTCCATAAACGGTATAGTGTAACAACTATTTGCAGAGCATTTACATTGCATACAAAGCTTATAAATAATCTAGAGATGATTTAAAGTGTACAGGAGGGGGCTCAGCGTCTGTGGCTCAAGCAGCTAAGGCACCAGCCACATACACCTGAACTGGCGGATTCGAATGCAGCCCGGGCCGCCAAACAACAATAGCCGCAGTACAGGCGCCTGTAGTAGCAGCTACTTGGGAGGCTGAGGCAAGAGAATCGCTTAAGCCCAGGAGTTGGAAGTTGCTGTGAGCTGTGATGTCACAGCTCTCTACCCAGGGCGACAGCTTGAGGCTCTGTCAAAAAAAAAAAGAAAGAAAGAAAAGTAGCTATTAGGGCGGCGCCTGTGGGTAGGCACCAGCCCCATATACCAAGGGTGGCAGGTTCAAACCCGGCCGGTCAAGCAATTGAAAAAAAAAAAAAAAAAGCTGGGCATTGTGGCAGGCGCCTATAGTCCCAGCTACTCAGGAGGCTGAGGCAAGAGTTGGAGGTTGCTGTGAACTGTGATGCCACTGCACTCTACCAAGGGTGACAAAGTGAGATTCTGTCTCTAAAAAAAAAATAAAGTGTACAGGAGGATGTACAGCGGTTATATACAAATAGAAAGCCTTTTTATATTAGGGACTTGAGCATCTTCAGATTTTGATAGGGGGGCGGTCTCAGAATCAATTAATACTCCACAGATACCTAGGGATAACTTTACTGAATATGTAAAATAAATTACATATTTCCTCGTCCAATGACTTTGTAACATCAATTTACTCTGTGTCAATAATAGAAATGAGTTTCCATTCAAAATAGTTTGAAAAGTATTACATTTTCCAAATAAAATTGAATTTAAAATATCTATTAATAGAATTCATATAGAAAAGATATGTATATACACACAGAGGAGATATATATGTGTGTGTACATATATATACACACTTTTCTGGATGGGTGTTGGGGAAATAATAAAAAATAAAGTCCTTTGCCACCCTATAAAATTCTTTCCACGGGTGGAGAAAAGAATAAGACAGTTTAATTAATTAATTTATTTTGAGACAGCAGGCCCCCACCACAATGCCTGGCTCTTTTTTGTTGCAGTGGTCATTGCCCTTTTAGCTGTCCAGGGCTGGGTTTGAACCCACCACCCTCAGTATATGGGGCTGGCGCCCTATCCACTGAGCCACAGGTGCCACTGACAGTTTTATTATTGAATAAACATCACACCAGACCCCCAGGAGCATCACAGGCAAACTACTAATGAGTCTGTGAAGACAGAAGGAAATATCACATTTTTTATATAGCCAGGCAGGTACGATGGATTACATTTTTCTCCAGATGAAAGATAACTTGTCCTCAAGTAAGAGGACTGGATAACACCATTTGCTACATATAATTCATCCTAAATTCACCTGGTAATTGGGATAAACATCTGTGTTAGCTAATTTTCTTTATCCAAATGAAAGTAAAATTTCTTATATCTCTACAACAAGCAGATAATTACACCTGTAGCCAGAAACCTAGAAGTTTACCAAAAAGACAGACAGAAGGTGGTATAATCTTCCTTGATGTTTACCCTTCAAAGATACAGCTCAAGGTCATTAGGGAAGATCTTCCTGGATTGTAAAAGTAGAAAGAAGTTTACTTACTTTTTAGAAACATTTACTAAATCTCAGAGGGATGGAGAAAGGATTTATAATTGCAAGTTTTCTCAAAGACAAGTTCTAAGAAAAGACCTTTTTTTCTTTTTGCAAGAGGGAAAATTCAATTTTTTATATTTACTCTTACAGAAAATGCTATAAAATTTAACACAATTTCAATCAAGACCTCAATAAAAATTTTGATGTAGAGGTTTGCTTTGTTTTACTTGACAAAATAATTTTTACCTTCTTTGGGAATAACTTTGGAAAATAGCCAGAAACTTTTCTTTTTTGGAGGGGGTGGTGTCAGAAACTTTTTTGAAAATGCGAATTTTCAAAGTTTGGTGCTTGTTTCAAAAAAGCACAGAAACAGATCCAAATGTACATGAGAATTTAAGATTTTAAGATTGTATATATTAAGATTGTCGTTTCAAACATGGAAATAATATGGACATTGTACTTTTTTTTTCTAATTTGATCTTGAGGTCTCCCTCCTGAGGGTGACTGTAAACTCTAGCCCTGCCTTGATAAGGCTCCAGGAACTTGGTCATGGGTGTTTACAGTGTGCCTTTCATGGGATACTTCTTTTTTTCTTTTTTTTTTTGGCTAGGGCTAGGTTTGAACCGGCCACCTCCAGCATATGGGGCCAGCGCCCTACTCCTTTGAGCCACAGGCACTGCCCCTCATGGGATACTTCTTTATTTTGGTGGACAGCCTAAATGTCTGAACTATGACCAAGTATACCTCTCACAGAAAACCTGTTTATACTGGCTGACTGTTTCTCCCATATGGCCTTCCCACAATGGCAGTGTGCAGCTGGCAGTCAAGCTGATAGGGGATCTATGCTACCTGGTCTTCAGTCCTGGTCACTGGATACTCTTTAAGTCCACCCACTCATTTGAGGCAGCTCTAGTAAGTAGACTTTTTTTTTTTTTTGAGACAGAGGCTCAAGCTGTCCCCCTGGGTAGAGTGCCGTGGCATTACAGCTCACAGCAACCTCCGACTCCTGGGCTCAAGAGAGTCTCCTGCCTCCGCCTCCCAAGTAGCTGGGACCACAGGCACCCGCCACATTGCCCGGCTATTTTTTTTTGCAGCCGTCATTGTTGTTTGGCGGGTCTGGGCTGGGGATTTGAACCCGCCACCTTAGGTGTACGTGGCTGGCGCCTTAGCCGGTTGAGCTAAAGGCGCCAAGCCTCTAGTAAGTAGATTAACCCCAAATCAAAAAGGTGACAGAGGCCTTACTACTGCTACACATTTGTGTTAGTTCCACTGGGGCCATTTTTATGTATTTTGGGCAATTGAATGCCTTAATTGAAAAAAAGGCATTATTTCTTCCCCCTATGCTCTAAATCGTTACATTTTACTGTTTCTTTCAGAGGTCGGTTTTACTTTATAAAATGAAGATTTAGTTTTCATATTGTGTGCATATTGGTCTTGATTTCAAAATTAGGTTGTTAATTTGTAGTGAAGTAGGATTATCTAAGCTACTGTATTTAGAGATGTTAAGAATGGGTGTCCAGACATTTTTACAGGAAGGAATAAATGTAAGAAAAGGGTAAGATACTGTGAATAGGCCCTCAAACTTAAAAAGAAATACTTTTGTCAGTTTTAATGACACATTTTGATTCCTTCAGTATTCTTAATAACTTACAAAATATAATTCTTGAAAAATACCCAATATTGTTGGGTATATTTTATTGTTGTTGATTCTTGAAATTCAAGCATTTATAACATAGCATATTTGATTTTCTTTCTTCTTTTTGGGGGGAAATCATTAACATTTCATTTGAAATGCATATTCCTCCTGAAATACTTTGTTTTCAGCTTAAATGTTGTGAATTTTATCTTAGTGTTTGGATTAAAACATTTGGGTTGTTTGGCTTTCTTTCATTTGCTTTGTATATTTAATAATGTACCTTTATTTTTCCAGTACGCTTATGTTTTGTATTGTACAATAAATTTATTTTAAGCTGAAAAAAAAAAGTTGACAGAAAGTCTTTTCTTGTCCCCAGTCCTCCATGGGCAGGCTGGCCAGCTAGCCCCAACCCATTCCCAAGCACTCACATTCTGTGCTGGTTTTCCTCAGCTCCAGACCTCCTTGCTGTCTTCTCTAGTCCACCACTGTTTCACCGTGTCCCTGGAATGATGTCCCTGGGTAAGTACTCCCAACCAGAGGTGGTTGGAGTTTTCTTTCCCCTGTCTAGCTTTGAGTGGCTAGTAAGGAGATGTTTCTAGTCTACTATCTTGCTCAGCCCTTTCAGGGCTGAACTTTCTAAAGAACAACATCAGAGGTTGTATGATGCAGTTTACCACTTGTCTTAGTCAACACAGACTAGTCATAACAAAATACCACAAATCGGCTAGTTTAAACAACAAAGTTTATTTCTCACATTTCTGGAGAGTGGGAAGTCCAAGATCAAGGTGGTGCTATTCAATTCAGTTTCTGGTTTCTCTTTTCCTAGCTTAAAGACACTCATCTCCTTGTTATGTCTTCACATGGCCTTTCCTTGGTGTATGCATGTGGAAAGAAAGAGATACCTCTCTCTTCTCTTTTTACATGGCCTCTAATCCCATGATGATGGCCCCACCCTCATGACCTAATCTAACCCTGATTAATTCTTAAAGGTTTCATGTCCAAATGCCATCACACTCAGAGTATTTCAACATATGAACCTGTGGAAGACACAGTCATTTGGGCCA